TCTTTTTATATCCTAGGGGAGAGCAAACATTTTCTTAAAGTTCTATAGTAGCCTTTATACATTTCAGGAGACTTCAAGGCTAGCCATCTATTTGCATTACAGTACTACTGATGTACAATTAAAAAACCATAAGATTTTAATGTGTATAGAGGCATTTCAATTATATTTATATCTTTATCTCTCAGGTGTCAAATATTGTGGCTTGCTCTTCAACACGTCACTACAGGCTGCAGATTTGTAAAGTTTAAACAAGTCAAGAATAAAAGTAGCAAATGACCACTAATTACAGAAGTATAATTAAAAATGTGACAGAATAAAGATCCTGTTCTGATTTATGAACCAAAACATGTTCCCAAAATAGTAGGTACCATTACCCAATATAAAGGGGGCCAGTAAAACAAGAATCTAGCTGCAAATCAACCCCCAAATCTCAAACAAATGAGAAAGTAAAACACCAAAACCAAATGTAACCAACTGACTGATAAAGAAAATATTCCTGGGGATATAAGGAGGTGGAAGTTGTTTTGAAGAACCACCACATCATCCATGCATTATAAATTGCACTAGGGATAGTTGTGTGTGCTTAAAAGCACTGCCCTGCTGATTATCAAGTGCCTATTTCTATTTTCATTTAAATACACGGGGGTTTTTAATAATATAATTGTATAGACCTACAAAGCATTATAGCATAAGCACTTCTAATTTACATCTATATGTTGTATTTGTTTATTCCTTATGATCTTGTCTCCCTCTAGTGGCTGGCCCTCACAAAAATGCACTTCTACCTGTATTCAGACCTGTATGCAGAATCACAGGATAATTCAGGCTGGAAAGGACCTCAGGAGGTCTCTAGTCCAAGCTCCCCCTCACACAATTTCTGGTTGGTCCTGGTAGAAACATTCACCACCAGCTGTTTGCAATCAAGGTAAAGCCTCACTCCTGAATCCAGATTCAAGGACCTCGTAAGATCATCTGGAAAAGAAATGAAAGAGCCAGGAAAATCAAATCACTGGAACTATCTCATTGGGATGTATCTTCATCCCAAAGTTTCATCACTTCTTAAAAGAGTAGAAGATGTATTCCTTTGCATATTGGTGCAGTGTATTGCTGGCAAGTTGTCTGTCCTCAGTTTCATACATGATCATCATATGTGGAAGAAACATCTAGAACATTAATAATCAACTGAAGCTCAAAAGCTTCATTGTGAAGGTTTGTTTCTTTACCAATCACAGACCCTGAGAGCAAGGTTAAGTCTGAGTAAGCTTTCCTCTTCTTTCTTCCAGGAAAATGTCTGTCATGAGGGCTTTCGCTAGCAGGAAGGGATGAAGAGTTATACCTGACAGGAACCTCTGACAACTAGAAAACAACCTGCTCATTGCCACTTGTGATCAACTGCTACAGAAAACAACAAGCCATATGAAACTGCAGTAAGATGATCTGGAAAATTAAGTCAAGAAGAATAAGAGGCTTCACTAGCCTGAATGCCACTACATCCCACAGAAAAGAGTCCTAGAACACAGGGGCTAAACAGCCATGTCTCATAAGAAGTCACAAGGACAAGAAAGCTGTTCTGCCATCAGGATAATTTTGTAAATAGAGTTAACACTTAAGTTTTGGAGATCTATTAAAAAAAAAAAACCCAAACTCTTGTACAATTATCAGATGCACTTCAGTAGCATAGGCAACAATAATAAAAATCCATGCAATATCAAATTGCAATGTCAAAGGAATTACTTTTCAACACAGAAGTGCACAACTAGTAACTGTCTCTTCTGTAAAAAGTGGTAAATAATCAGAATACTAGAAGAGAGCATTTTGTACCACTGTGCACCAAATACTGCTAAGAAAAAGAACATATATCACAAGTATATATGTAGCAAAGGAAAACAGAAAGTGATGGGTTGCCTTAAAGTCATCCATCTGTATCAAAACCTTGACTCCAAGCTATTAGCTAAAGTAGTAACTGAATAATGCCTTAAAGAAATTGATCCAGCTTTCATTCTTTCCTTTGTTCTAAATACCGCATCATCTTTCAACTCTACGATTTCACATTCACAGACCAATCATACAAACAGATCTGAAAACAATAACAGCCAAGTAAAGATCACTGCTCTAAGACGATTTTATTTTCAACTCTCAGAGCATTTTTACAACTGTACTGTATTCATCTTGAGTCATCTTATTACTGTCTTGTTTCAAGTATTTTAAAACCATACTGGAGTTCCCCCTGTCTTTTTTGGGATGGGGGGGAGTTAATTTTTAAGCAGTAGGAACAGGATGTGAAAGAATTTATGGGAATTAATATCTGTTTAGAGTAAGATTACATTTTATAGAAAAAACAAACCAGCCTTAAAATAACACTGAGGTTATGAAGCCAACTGGCATAACCATTCACTCAGAAATAACACATCTACCACCATCTGACAGTTTATCCTATCATCTGAACAACAATAATTTACCATTTAAGCACTCTTAGCCTAGCAATTTGCAGAGTAATTTTCATTACAGTGCCTAAAGAAAAAGATGTTTTTATTTTGCACTCTGCATTTGTCTCTGTTGTGAACATGCCAGTTCATCATTCCCCCGCCCACAACAGAGCATCTCTACCAGTTTCAGTGCTTGCTTTGTAGGCACTTCTTGGGTTTTTTTCCTCACTGAATACATGGTTTCACACTTCATTTACAATGTACTTCACAGATTCCTCTCTAAAGGTAAAATACTGTTTCTTTAAAAACTTTTCTGCAGTGTTTTTACCAATGAGCCCTAGGGTATGTCCACATCAGTGATTCAGAGCACAAAAGTAAGAGTTCTTTTTGGCACGTGCCTATGCTTAGCCTGGTGGTAGGCACTCCACTGTGTCGCTGATGTGTTCAAGGTAACTTCCTGCTGCA